CCAGCAGACCAGGGAGACGGGGAGCAGCTTTTCTCGCCCCGGAGAAGGCGGGCGGCGGGACCAGGTGTCCCGCTGCTCCAGTTCTCCGGGGCGAGAAATCCCCGTTCGTAACATAAGTCGGATCCGCGTAACTCGGGGACTGCCTGTATATGCAAACAAGAAGAAAATTAACTTTTTTTCTCTTGTTTTCTCTTTCTCCTTGTTTGAAGTAGTGTTTCATTTTTTGTAGAAGAGCCATTTCATGTTCTTTCCCACAAAATATATATGATCTCACTATGCTAATATGAATAATTATTGTTGTACAAGTGTTTGATTTATCTGAATTAATATCCCCATAGGTTGCCGGAAAGCTTTCCTGAATTACAGAATCTAACGTGTCTTTCTGTAAATGACATCTCACTGCAAGCACTACCTGAAAACATTGGCAAGTAAGTTTGTTTTTTAAACAAGATATGATCTTTAATTTGTTTTCATTTACTTAAATGTTGCACACAAGGTATATACAAAAATGTAAAGATTAAACTAAGAAGTATATTATGCAAATGAGTAATTGTGTCAGGGTATTACATTTTCTTATTCTATTTAAAACCCATACCTTCTCTCGGACCCTGCACCCCAATCCCATGCCCTTGGTCACCACTTGAACCCTCTGCACCAGGTCATAACTCCCTCCCAGACCCTGCATCCGCCTCCTACACTCCTCCCCAGGTCAGAATCCTCTCCCACACCCATTCCCCTGCTGGACCCTGCACCCTAATCCTCTGCCCCAGGTCACAAACCCCTCTTTTACCCAAACTTCCTCTTGGATCCCCAACCATCTCCTGCACCCCAGTCCCCTACCCCTCGGCTCCCGTCACCCAAACCTGCTCCATAAAAAAGTGTGGCTCATGACCACTTTTTAACATGGTGGAGTGGCCTCCTTTGCTTACCCCTGACTTAAGACATTCCATAGAACATAAGACTTTGGGGAAATTTGGGAAAAAGGCACACTTTCCAGAGTAGATGGAAAGTGAAATATCTCTGGATTTCATGTCAGATGACGTCACAAATCAATTTTTATTTTAAGAGACTTTGAATTACTTTGTAACTTGTAGGCTTAAAATGGCAAGAATCTTAGATATGTTGTATTAATATCCATGCACTGGAAGATTTGGAGGTAATAGAAATATCTGAAATACTAACTAAAATGTTAGGCTTATTTCTTTTTGATGGCTTCAGGGACAGATCTATGGCTAAGAAAGTTGAGGTGCCTTAGATTGATGAAAGATAGGAAGGAATGCACCTTTTTACTGACATAAATTTGTAGTTTGGGACATCTGATGGCATCATGTGGAATAAAAATATTCTACATTTTGAATGAAACAAGGCAGAAGAGGTCAGTTAATGGACTGTATTTTAAAATGCAAGCTTGTTGAAGTGCAGTGTTACAGAAGAAACAAATGAGATACAGTAATTCCTCATTTAACACTATAGATGTTTCTGAAAATGTTTGTGCTAAACAAAAATGTGCTATGTGGAGTCAATTTTCCCATTAAAATAATGGAAAAGGTGGGGATTGCGTTTCAGGCGATGGTGGCAAAGTCCATTTTTTTGTTGGTGCTGGGTCAACGTCCACATTAGATATCTAGCAACACAAGAAAACTAGCAACACAAGTTGCCACAGATTGTTAAAACACAAAGATAAACACGTGAGTGAGCGAGGGAGTACTGTGACATGTATATTCATTCGCTCGTGCATATTGCCACTGTTTTTACCAACTTATACCGCCACACGAAGTAGTCCGCCACTTGATTATTTTCGTGTTATTTTGGAGATGGTCGTGTTCTTCGAAAAATGTTCCCTAAAAAAAATAGTGCTATTGTGAAAACGTGTTAAGCGGGCATGTGTTAAACAAGTAATTACTGTAGTGAGGCGTAACTCATAGTGATACAGAAACTGGTTTTTTTTTTTTACTTGTACTGATAGGTACTCAGTTAAGGCTATGGGTTTTCCATCTGAGTCTGTTTGCTAAACTGTAATCTTGAGAGATTTTCACTTTTGATCAGGTAGGGCTGATTATCATGTAGATGGTTCTTCATTAAAAAGCAAAACTGAATGTTCAGGAACTTGAAACTGTTTATATTCTTATGAGCACTATTATACCAATTAAAAACGTAATAGATCTATCAACATTTGTGAAAGTCAAATGTTTGTCTTGTATTAACTTGATATTAAAAGTTCAATACATTAAGAATTTCATTTAAATTCGTTGAGCTGTTCTGTTAATGGAGGCAGTGGAAAATCAACTAAATGGAATAGCTTCTGAAAATAACTAGAACTCTTACCTCATCTTATGGATTGTCTTGTCCTAGTTCAGTAATACTCACAAGTAAACTGTAGAATTTTCAGTTAGGAATTCCAAAATCTTCTATTGATCCTTTATATTTTTAAGCTTTCTAATTCTTCTCCCCAGCAATCGTTTTGAAGGTTCCATAGTAAAGTCCAGTAGCTCTGGTAATCTGTTGGGTCTCAACCATTGCTGAAGTTCATCATGCTCTCTTTTAATTAGATTTCAGTGATAGTTTAGATCCAGCAGCTCTTTTCTTCATGGTACGGTAATCTTCGGGATGGGTGGAAATTCATGGGGGGGAGGGGGGAGGCGATTACTAGAGGTTTGTATTAGAGAGCTAAAGCCAAGCTGAGAAGGGTGGAATCTGATCCTTATGTAAATCTGAGTAGTCAAGAGAGACTGAAACTTCAGATCAGTTTATGTATTATAACACCATGAGCCCATATAACTCACCGCCCATGTCTCTGTGGGCCGAATCCAGCCCGTGGACGCCGTGCCACTCCCCTGCCCCCAGGATCATGCGAAGTCTCCTCCTGCCCTGTAAGGGGCACACAGTGCTTAGAGTGAAAGCTGGCTCCTTGCAGGGCTGCAGGAAACTTTGCCGGTTCCCCCATCCCCAGGTCAATCAGGGCCTCGGAGTGGAAGGAGCGCACAAAGTTTCATTCTTCCTGCCACCACCCTGCAAGAGGCTCATGGTGCTCTTTTTGGCCTGGGTTTGGGGGGAGCTTGTGAAGTTTCCTTCTGTCCTGCAAGAGAGTAGGTGCCTAGAGGGAACCACCTGCTGTTCAGAACAGCTGGCAGTTGTCTCTAGGGGGAGGGGAAGGGGAGGGCAGTGGGAAAAGACTTCACGTGTTCCCCCAGGTGAATCAAGGTCTGTGGGAGAGGGAACACAAAAGTGTCCTGACCCCACCCCTTCCACCAGAGGCCTCGCTCCTTCGCTCAAAAATTAGTGAAGTGGCCCCCCTCCATCTAAAATTATTGCCCATCCCTGGTCTAGGCCAAGAATTCATACCAAGCCCAGTGTAATTCAGTAAAGCAGCTACAATTTTCTTTGAGTAGTAGGTTCTCCACAAACTGCTGATAATCAGGCCCACAGGAACATATTGCCCACCTAAATACTTCTACAATTTCTTCTAGATGTGGAATTATTTACTTCCTGACCTAAACTGTTACAGAGATGCTGCATTCAAGTGTTGAGTGAAGCCATCTTATCTGTTAGACTAACTGAAGTGTAGGAGCATAAGCTTTCGTGGGCAAAGACCCACTTCGTCAGATGCCCATGAAAGCTTATGCTCCTACACTTCAGTTAGTCTATAAGGTGCCACAGGACTCCTCGCTGCTTTTGCAGATTCAGACTAACACGGCTACCCCTCTGATACTTGACATCTTATCTCTGTGTAGGTTGATCTTCTTTGTAAGGAAGTTCAAAATGTATAATGCTTTTCATGTTAGGAAATACAAACAAGTAATAATTTAAATGCTTACTGTTCTGTCCTGTGGCCCCCTTTTACAACTTGTGGCCCTGGGACCATGAAACAGTTAATGTTGTTAACTCTGAAGCCCAATAATGATAATGATGTAAAAGATCATACTAACGGCTTGTAGATAGTGCTGCTTTGTAATACTTGTGCCCACTAGGGTTGCCAGGTGTCCGGTATTCACCCGGACAGCCCAGTATTTTCGGCTCCTGTCTGGTGTAAAAAAAAAAAAAAAAAAAAAAAAAAAAATTCAGAGAATACCAGACATCTAAAATGTCCGGTATTTTCTGAATTTTTCCCTGGCCAGGAGGTGAAAACGCTGGGCACCTGGCAACCCTACAAACACTCAGTGCCTGGCTTCCGCCCCCCTTCCCGCCCTCTCCCCCTCTCCCCGGCTCTCAACACTCCGACCCAGCCCCCATGCTTACCTGGTTCCCCAAGGCTGCCAGGGGCTGAGTGCTCTCGTGTTCCTATCCCTGCATTCACTCTTAAAGGGGACATGCTGTTTTAATGCTGTTTTATTTTAATTTTTGGATTTGGGGTCGGTAGAATTTTTGGAGTCCTTTTTTTTTCTTTTTGCTCAACAACTTTGGTCCCCCCTCCCTTTTTTCCCCTTCAACAGAATTTTCTTTGGCGGGGGGGCGAATTTCGGTATTTTGTTTCAACCATCTTGCAACCCTAATGCTCACTGTTGCTTATGTTTGTTTTGAAGATACTCCCTTTTGCACTAGTATCTGGTATACTGTGGTGAAATCCATAAAGGCCAGTTAAAGGAAATTTGAAGGGGAATTAGTGTGCAGGCAACACCAAACCACATATTTAACGATAGAAATACTTATAATTTACCGGTGACAACATGAAACTACACACAGTTAAAATTCCTCTTACTAAAACTTTCTGAATGTTGGGATTCTTGAGGGAGGGAGGGAGGGAGGAAACACAGGTGGCTCAAAGATTCTAAGTCGTTTTTTCTGTGGTATTTGGGGAGCCAGACCATGCTTGTAACTTTGTATCCTCTTTATTCTGAAGCTATACATTTCAGAAAAACTACTCCCCAAAACAGGCTTGCGATATGTTTCCCCATTCCATCACAGTATGCTGACCCAGTAGGGAAA